GGTGGGGAGCCGGCCAGGCGTGAGGCCCCACTTTGGCTCATGGCAGGTCTTCTCTAGGGCATGGCAGTCACCGGCGCGGCAGCACCTCTGCCGGGGGACCTGTGGGGAGAGGAGAGGTCAGGGGAAGGTGGAGGGAAGAGGGGGCACAGCTGTAGGGAAGCAGGGTATGGTCCCTGGTTTTTGGGGTGTCACACTGAGTGATGAGGCCCCTGGTATGCACTCTGGTTAGATCCCCAGTGATGTCCCCAGCTGGGTCCTTGATGATGACAGCAGTGAGGAGCCAAGTGAGAGCCCCAGCCAGGTGCCCAGGGAGAACTCCAGTGAGGTCCCTGGCGATGGTTCCCAGGGAAGACCCCAGTGAGGTCCCCAGCAAGGACCCTGGCAGGGTCCCCAGTGAAGACCACAGCGAGGTGCCTGGTGATGGCCACAGCGAGAAACCAAGTGATGGTCCCAGCCAGATCCCCAAGGAAGACGCTGTTGAGGTCCCCAGTGAGGACCCTGATGATGGCCCCAGCATGGTCCCCAGGGAAGGCCCCAGGGAGCCCCCCAGCCTGACCGCCAGCACCTTGTCCCAGTTTGGCACTGCAGCTGGCACCAGCCTGGCCCAGGGCACCTCTCCCAGTGCACTGGAGGCAACGTTGTCTACGAGACATCCAGATGACGTCATCCACATGAGGTCTTCTTGATTACATCATCCGTGAGCCCCCAAGACCGTTTCCAGTGCTGTGGCAGGGAGAACTGGGTGCACACTGGCAGCTCCACCAAGGGTCGAAGCCCGTACCCAGCCAGCGGGGCAGGACCCGCGCCAGAAGCCCAGACTGGCCACAACAACGGTGGCAAGATGTGCCCGGGGGCGGCCAGACCCGCTCTCTGGTGTTGTCACAAAAAAGGGTGGTGCTGACTGGCTGCAGCCCGGCACAGACCTCTTGCTCAGCCCGGGTAGGCGGGCAAACCGCCCCGGGAAACCCTAATGGGAGCAGTGCCGGCTCCCGGCGGCCACGAGCCGCGGCAGGTTTCTGGGACGGTGCAGCCAGATCCGCTGCCAGGTCCGGCCAGTGCGTGAGAGCCAGTGCCAGCCCAGCAGGAGCAGCGACTGACGGCAGCTGTGGGCTCCGCACGGGGGGGGGAAATAGGTTTCTGATGGTGTTTGTTGTAACA